AACTGAAGAATAACAGGAACTGGGGCTCCAGGCACACATGCCATTTTTAATACTATACCTTAGATCCAGCACAGCAGGCATGGGGCAGACGGGGCAGCATGTGGCGCCGGCTCTTCCGTTAGTGCCCCCACTTGCTTGCCCTGGCTGCCATCACCAGCCCAACTCTTGTGGGGTTCTTCAAAGCTCTTGTCCACACCCTCCCCATGCCTCACTCTGAGGAAGAGGGTCATTCCTCAGAATGAGGGGTTCTGGGTGAGGTGTCCCCAAGAGAGTGTCTGCACCAGCACACTTTTCTGCTCTGTGCGTGGAAGAGAACCGAACACGTGTGGTGTTCACACAGCAGCTGTAGGGGCCGGGCCTTGCACGCAGGCCCCTGCCTCCCTCCGACCATGAATATGGGTGTGGCGTTTACCCTCCTACGTGACATCATGCTGGGTCATAAGGAAAGGGTTAAATGAGTGTGAAGTGATTGGCCAGTGGGAACCCAAGGGGAGGAGTTAGAGTTAGAGTTGGAGTTGGAGTTGTTGGGAAGTCAGTTGGGAGTTGGAGAAGGAAGAGGGAGGATAAGTCTGTGGGTTGGTCGTGTTGTGAGAGAGTGAGAGAAACTGATAGGAGGAGTCAGATAGACAGTTGGGATAATCAGTTAGCAGTTATTAGGAAAGGTATAGGCCGGTAAAGAAACTAAGATTAAGAAACTGACAAGAAAAATTATCTGAAACCATAAACTTGTTCAGGCTTATAAAATAAACTTGATTATTTGTTTTAATGTTAACAACTGTCTGGACTCTGTGTGTACCCGAGAGAAACAGGTTGGTGGCAGCGGGGAAGCAATCACAGTGGTGGCACAGGGATCAATAGACCGTCAAACGTCCGGGGACCCTGTGTGATCGCCACAATGGGGTTTGCATGTTTGGGCAAACGTCTGAATGTGCACCCGGCTTCTACGTTTATGTGTAATTTTCAAAACAGTCCATGCAAAAATCTGCAAACCGTTAATTTTTTTCCTAAGACTTTGGTTTTATTATTATTCAGTTTAAAACCTGCAACTTGGCCAAACTCTTGAATTATCTTCAGTGCTTTGATTGCACTGATCTCAGGGTCCAGTAAGTCAATACCAAATCATCAGCAAAGGCTTTTAACTTATATTGTTTAGTTCCCACTACTATGCCTTTAGGGATGCGGGTGGCGCTGTGGGTTAAACCACAGAGCCTAGGACTTGCTGATCAGAAGGTCGGTGGTTCGAATCCTTGCGACGGGATGAGCTCCCATTGCTCGGTCCCTGCTCCTGCCAACCTAGCAGTTCGAAAGCACGTCAAAGTGCAAGTAGATAAATAGGTACCGCTCTGGTGGGAAGGTAAACGGTGTTTCCGTGCACTGCTCTGGTTCGCCAGAAGGGGCTTAGTCGTGCTGGCCACATGATACGGAAGCTGTATGCCGGCTCCCTCGGCCAATAAAGCGAGATGAGCACCGCAACCCCAGAGTCGGCCCTTTACCTTTACTTTTACTATGCCTTTAACTTTCTCATCTTTCCTTATCATATTCAGCAGCACCTCTAGGACAGAAATAAAAAGCAGGGGGGGAGTGGGCACCCTTGCCTGGTTCCCTTCTCAGCATGTATTTTTTTTAAAAAAATGGTTTTTGAATTCATTGGTTTGTATTCAGCGCAGCACTAAGGAGATGGTTGCATCAGTGCAAGCATGTCTGCTTTCCCAACAGAAAAATCTCCCCTCTCCTCCCCCTGTGTGGGGCTTCTCTCAACCCTCTGGAGCAGATTTAGGGAGGGTGATATAACAGTGTTTGCCATCCTACATTTCTAGATAAAGGGGCCCCTGACCATTAGGTCCAGTCATGGCCGACTCTGGGGTTGCGGCGCTCATCTCGCTTTATTAGCTGAGGGAGCCGGTGTACAGCTTCTGGGTCATGTGGCTAGCATGACTAAGCCGCTTCTGGCAAACCAGAGCAGCGCGCGGAAACGCCATTTACCTTCCCGCCGGAGCGGTACCTATTTATCTACTTGCACTTTGATGTGCTTTTGAACTGCTAGGTTGGCAGGAGCAGGGACCGAGCAACGGGAGCTCACCCCGTCGCGGGGATTCGAACCGCTGACCTTCTGATCAGCAAGTCCTAGGCTCTGTGGTTTAACCCACAGCGGCACCTGCGTCCCCACACTGCGTCCCCACACATTTCTAGATAGCACTTTACTAATCTGTTGTTGGGGGTTCCAGATTTATTGGCTTGGCGTTAAAAAGAAGTGCTGTATTTGACAATGACTCCAATTAAACATTAATAAGATGTGAAATTGTGCTACAAGTCAATGTATCTTGAGGTACAGCCATACAGGAATGACATCTGGGCTCTATTTCTATTGAGTGTTGAATGATGTTGTCTTCATTTGGGGAAGGGGTTGCGCTGGAATGAAGCCTGTTTCGCTCCCCTTGACAAAAGGCCCTGCCACTTGTAAATCTGTTCTCTCCCAGTCCGGTTGTTAGTGTCAAAGTCTGTCAGATCAGCAGGACATTAAAATTATACAACTACAGTAGGAAGCGAGTGCCCCTAATTCCCAGCTCGTGCATCGCAAGCAATAAATAAATAAATAAAGCAACTATTTCTAATTTCTAGTGGAAGTTCTACCAAAACCTTTTCATCTTGGATTCCTTCTGGCAGATTATATCATTTTACCTGTTTGGTGGAGCTTAATCGCAGGGACTTGTTTTATTACTAGCTAGATGCCCACTATATGCTGAGGATGCTCACGCATTGTCCAATTTGCTGTTGCTATCTTGGCACTTTCAAGCATGGGAGTGATCTCACAGCAGCCCTTAACTGCACTGAGAGAGCCTTTTTCTTCCTGATTTTTCTGGTGAGCTGTGGAATTTAGAGTCTCTATCAGTGAATAATCACACTCTGCCATACAACCTTTCCTTCCTTATGGCAAGGTAAGTGGAATGGCTGGTATGTGATTTCATCCCTGGCCCCAGCCCAGTGCCAGACTTATGTATAGGCTAAGTAGGCTGAAGCCTAGGGCCTCTAAATCTAGGGGGCCTCGCCAGCCTGCACACTCCCCAGTGCCACAGTCTCCCCTCTCCCAAAATTGCAAACCCAAGACTTCATGCGAGGACAGGGCAACTCACGCCCAACAACTATGAGACCCAGGGCTAGCCAGTGGGGCCCAATTTGAAGTAGTGGGGCCCAACTTTAGTTGTTGTTGTTGTTTTTTGTAGGGCCCCAGTTCACAGCCAAAGTCTGCAAAATCTTATAGATATAAATAAAATCCATCTAGTAGATTGCCCTGGTGCGGGGGCCCAGTTTGGCCAAATTGCACCAATTGCCTTAAGGTCAGCCCTGATGACACTCATCAGAGGCAGCTACAGTTGCAAATGGAAACAAAATATCTGTGAAAGGAAGAGAAGCAGGTTTGCTCAAGTGTGTTGCAAGTAGAAATGCTGTTTGTAACGAAGTGAGAGCAGTAGTTGCTCCAACTATCAAATAAGAAAGTTTTGAGAATTTACATGCTACATTAATTCATTGAGAAGGGGATTGTAAGAAAAACACTGGGTCCTAATTAGAATAATAGAGTGCCTGCTTTCTGGTGGGCAATTTCCTCCTTTATTTCGACACTGTGGCTGTAGACCAAATCACCTGTCAGGAGAGCTATGAGATTCAGGTGAGGGTCATATGCCTTGTCAATCCCAGCAGGTATATAACAGGAAGACCCGGCCTGCCCAACTTGAAAGTGACTAACTTAGACAAACAAATTTTGACGAAGTCTTGGATGATTTTGCTATGAGGCAAAACGATGGGTTGAATGATGGGAGTGGAGACACTCCTTCAGGTATACAAGGCCTAGGCCATTTAGGCCTTTAAAGGTCAGCACCAACACTTTGAATTGTGCTTGAAAACGTACTGTGAGCCAATGTAGGTCTTTCAGGACTGGTGTTGTATGGTCCCGGTGGCTGCTCCCAGTCTAGCTGCCTCTACTCAGACCCTTCTAACAGGTGACTAGCAAAAGCCCATACTGCATATATGGAGGGAGGGACAATAACTCAGAGGAAACTGCATAATATACAAAAAAGTATGCATTTCCTACAATAGAGACACTGCAGGTACATAAAGTCAATCTCTTTCCCCCTTCCCAACTGGTCATGTGGTCCACCCCTCAACCCCCTCCTTTCAAGAGACAATCTTCCGAGTCATCTTTGGAAAAAGGGGGTGGGGGCAAATGTACACCCACTACAAGAATGGGAAACAACACTCAAAATAACACCATCCACACGCAAGAGAAAAACACCAGCTGGCTTGCGGGGAAGAAGAAGAGTTTAGATTTGGATTTGATATCCCGCTTTATCACTACCCGAAGGAGTCTCAAAGCGGCTAACATTCTCCTTTCCCTTCCTCCCCCACAACAAACACTCTGTGAGTTGAGTGGGGCTGAGAGACTTCAAAGAAGTGTGACTAGCCCAAGGTCACCCAGCAGCTGCATGTGGAGGAGCGGAGACGCGAACCCGGTTCCCAGATTACAAATCTACCACTCTTAACCACTACACCACACAAGGTTTGAAAATGGATGCAACTTAAGAAAAGAAAACTTGGGAGTTGGAGAAACAAACAGCACAATGAAGACTGAGCATGCTCAGTGGGCACGGTATGCTGACATGCTGTTGGGGAGAAGAATGGAAAACTGGATGGGGAAAGGGGAATGGAATGGAGTGTCCTGGAAAAGGGTATGGCTGAATGGCTAGAATCCTAAAGAGAAGCACTCCATACTCCATAGCATTTTGTCGCAGATTCCATTTGTAAACACCCATGGACACCTGCATCCACAGGGGCTGCAGTCATATGAACCTCCTTATCCGCATCAATCTCCCTTGCTGGATCACAGCAATTATGCACATGTGTAAGCTGATTTATGATATACCTCTTGGGAATGAAGGAAATTTAATAAATGTGTTAAGGATGTGGGGAAAACCCCTTTGTTCTTTTTATATTTTAAAGCAGAATTGGGTGGTTCAAAATCACGAACTTTTCATTGCAAATATAAAATAATGTGCCCACACGTGTCAGGAGCAGTTAAATCTCTAAAATCAGCTCTTACTTTTGAATCAGCTATTTTACACGGCTGCATCAGTGCAAGGACATTTTATTATCCACAGATTTCATTCCAGTCCAGTCATTGTGGTTTACTAAAAGCTCTACAAAAAATGAGGAGTAACAGCTGGAATGCTACTGGTGGACATCTCATGCTGGGAATGATCAATTGCATCATAAAGGGTTTTTTAAGTCTTCTGTTCTGGCTGTACAGGAGATGGACATCAACTTTTAGTGGTTTTTCACTTCCTGAAAGTCTTGCATACTTGAACTCTTCCATGTGGCAAAACTATGTGCAAAACAAGAAAAAGATGATTGACAGTCTATCAACACAAATATAAAGAAATTTCATAGTATATACAAATAAATTATTTTTGCAGTCTTCTATAGAAAGAAGTGTGCTTTGGAAAGGCAAATATTAACTCTTCTTAACTGATATTCAGCATACGGTATTTTTTCTAGCTGGAATTGTTGAATATGTATTAATGTTGATTTTGATTAATATTAGAAGAGACCTTTGTTAAAACTCATCACACAGTTGAACACAGTTTTCAAAAGTGAGGGGCCCATACTGGATAGTTGCTTTAAAGGCCCGGGTGGACAGAAAGGTATTCACTTGATGCTGAAGGCGTTGGAAGTTTGGGCGCAACTCAGCCTGCTGAGAAGGGTTTGCGTGGGTTAAGACAGAGAAACAAACTAGGGACCTCCAGATTCTATCCATGTAACTTCATGGCTATGCCAACTACTCTCTATCTCATTGATGTTTAGACTCATAGGTCTTTGTTTGCTGCGTCTTTACAACTTCCTGCTTCTCCTCACAGTCTTTCTCTGGATCTCTACCAGACTACCAGACTTTTAGAAGACTTCTGAAGCAGCCCTGTTTAGGGAAGCTTTTAATGTTTAATAGACTGTTGTATTTTAATATTCTGTTGGAAGCCGCCCCAAGTGGCTGGGGAAACCCAGCCAGATGGGCAGGGGTATGAATAAATTATTATTATTATTATTATTATTATTATTATTATTATTTTATTATTATTCTCGAGGTGATATGTCATCTTGCATCTATCTTCTGAGAACAAAGAGGAAAGCATGGTTTCTTTGTTTCTCCAACTGGATAGTTAACTACGACTGTAGAACCCTTTCATACCCTCCAACATTTTCCCGATGAAAATAGGGATGGCCTAAGGAAAAGCAGGATATATTGGGATCAAATCAGAAACCAGGATGGCCTCTGTAAATCTGGGACTTTGCGGGTCTGCCCTTTCCTATCAAGAATGTACTTCTTTTAATAAACTTTACCTTCTTATGCCATGCCAAGTCTCAGTCTGAATGCCATTCAACTCAAGTTGTCCTCAAAGCAAGGATTCGTTTAGCTAAAGTTATGCTGCTGCATAAAATCCCTATATGCAATCAGAAGAGACCACATAGATGGCACCAGGCACACTGCCCTGAGCACACTGTTGCATAATCGGAGTGCTTGTTGTTGTTTAGTCGTTTAGTCGTGTCCGACTCTTCGTGACCCCATGGACCAGAGCACGCCAGGCACTCCTGTCTTCCACTGCCTCCCGCAGTTTGGTCAAACTCATGTTCATAGCTTCAAGAACACTGTCCAACCATCTCGCCCTCTGTCGTCCCCTTCTCCTTGTGCCCTCAATCTTTCCCAACATCAGGGTCTTTTCCAGGGAGTCTTCTCTTCTCGTGAGGTGGAGTGCTACTACCTAGCTAAGCTGCTCTAAGGACATCATCTTTGGTGGAGATACCAACCACCTCTGTAATGGAGGGTCTGTCAGGGGTATTGTAGTGGGCCAGCAGACTGCTTTCCAAAGTCATAGTCCTACGAATAACCAAAACACATATTGGCCTGCACGAATGAGCTCAAAAGTTCAAGTTGATGTGTTTCAGAATAACCAACTATGCATGCTGCATACATTTTTTTTTTAAAAAAGTCTATGGAATTCATGGGCCATTATTCTTTGTAGTGTCCCCCCCCCCATCTTTAAGATTATGGGACAAAGCCCGCACAGAGAAATTACACGCACAAATGTTGGGAAAATGGAGTGTTTGAAATCAATTCTAATGTTAAATGCAAAGGACATCCTTGGCTCATTAAGTAAAAATATCTCATTTAATGAGCAGGAAAGCACTGGAGCACACTGAACCTTGACACAAAGCAAATTATTTAAGTGATAAATTAAATTTTATGGGGAATGTAAAAGTTAATAATACTCTGGAGTAAGGTAATAAATGCAGAGGTGTAACTAACATCACTGACTGCTTTGCTTACAAACATGCCATATGTACTCAGTTACTTGCAAAGGTACTAAAAAGAAGACATGGCACAATTTTTTGGCAGTGAAGACTTGTGTCTCCTTCCCAAGCAACTTCTGTGTTTCTAGCAACATCTTTCATTTTCCCTTTTCTTCTTTACTTTTCATTCTCCCCTCCCCCCCCAAAAAAATTTGTCTTGTTATCATAAAAGCTAACAGTGCAATATAACACATCTATACAGAATTTATTCCAATGATGGCAGCCTTAGTTTACCTTCTGATGGTCTGATCTGGAAAGAGAATAACTGCAAGTAAGCTGCTTCTGAAATGGTCTTCAGAAGGACCACTTGGCCCAGCTGAAAAAGCCAGTGGTTCATGAGTCAGTAGAAAACTGTACACGTTTCTCAGAGTTTAGGAGTGCTGGATATTGTAACACTTGTGTCATGTTATGACATTGGGTCTGGTGAGAAGACAACCATTTTTATGATTTTTTTCCCCAACAAATAAAGAGATTTCTATAATAGCTTTTCATGACAGGTGGTTACTGCTGGGTAGGGTTAGGAACAAATGGTAGTTGGACGTAGCCAGCTTGAGATTTTGCAGCTATCAGAGGAGCTCTGAAGGCATGCTGCTTGCTTATCTGCTCAGGGCCTGCTCTCCCATTCTCTACTGATATATTTGTAAATAAAACAATACTGTTTAAATGTCATAAGTCTCAAGGACATCCTCATCTCAAGATACTGAGCCTGGAAGAATGTGGTTGGTGCTGCATCTGGATCATATTTGCAACCTTATCAACTGACACAAACATAATGGGAGAATGCAAAGTTCCCAGAAAGTGATACGTGACCCCGGGACTACAGTCACTATTGTTAGAAAGGAGGTGGCCGGAGTGGTTCTGACTCTCACCTTTGACAAAAATGTCCAACAGTGCAGAAGTTCTGGAACATGATAGATATACATAATAGGTATTTCTCAACATCTGCATGCAACAGCAAAGTCACATATAGTACACAACTGAAAGTCTCCCAAGCAACCTTCTAAACAGCACTGAATTGGTAAAATTCCAGACTCCGTGATTATGTTTAAGAAAGTGCAATAAAGCAAGGAATTAATTTTTTAATAACAACACCATGGTTTCCATTTAACCTCCTGACTCGAAGTCTGTCAAGCTTCAGGGATTGTCAAACCTGTAAATTTCAGGTTTATCCTAATACACGCATTTTTGCAAAGCCACTTTCACTAATAGAATTCATTTTTATACACACTTTACCCCCAGCGTATGCATTTTATGTGGGTTTACTTAATACGCATTGTTTCAGCAGGACAACTGCATTGCAAAATTCAGAGAATTGCAAATTTCAAATGGTTTCTGATGTTTGCTTTGAATATTGTTTTGGAAAGTTGGAATTAGGTAAACTCACCTAATTTCTCCCCTGTCCCTATTTCTGATCACATTCCAGTCAAATACAAATGCATATTATTATTTTTCCTAATGATGATTTGACAATAAAAGTACAACTGTCCTCCCATATACATTTACCTGGAAGTAAGTCCCACTGAACCCAGCAGAGGCTGCTTCTGAATAGACATATTCACTAATTAGTGGAGTTCTCTGAGTGTTTTACTCTAAGCTAACCCTTGATATCCTAAGGACTAATCAATAAGTTTCCTTTTCTTCTTCTTAATTAGTGGTCTTGTAGTGGTATGTGTGTTTTCCCTTTTTCCTTGCCTGTGTTAATTTAAAAAAAACATTCCATGTTAAAATGCAGCAGCATTCAATATCACAAGATGTTAGTGTCCAAAGATGGCAGGGGCATGGCCTCACCTTAGTGGATGATAATCGGCAGTGGTTCATTCTAAGATCTCCTGTTGGAGGACATTAAAAACCATGAGGGCTAGAAACCAACTCTTCAAAAATAAACAAGATATTATTATGATTTTGCACACAGTATCATCAAATTGTAGAGTTGGGAAGTACCCCGAGGGCCATCTAGTCCAACCCCCTGCAGTACAGTTCTTTCCTGTTCCTCAGGGAACAGGTGCACACCTGTGCAGAAAGAGCACCACTGTCCAGTGATGTTTGTTGTATCACACCATGCCCATTGGCGCGAATGAAATTTAGCATGACATGTCAGTAAAGGTAAAGGTAAAGGTAAAGGGACCCCTGACCATTAGGTCCAGTTGTGGCCAAGTCTGGGGTTCGGTGCTCATCCCGCTTTATTGGCCAAGGGAGCCAGCGTACAGCTTCCGGGTCATGTGGCCAGCATGACTAAGCCACTTCTGGCGAACCAGAGCAGCGCACGGAAACGCCGTATACCTTCCCGCTGAGCGGTACCTATTTATCTACTCGCACTTTGACGTGCTTTCAAAGTGCTAGGTTGGCAGGAGCAGGGACCGAGTAACGGGAGCTCACCCCGTCGCGGGGATTCGAACCGCCGACCTTCTGATTGGCAAGTCCTAGGCTCTGTGATTTAACCCACAGCGCCACCCGCGTCCCCAACATGTCAGTATATCCATCAAAAAGCCACCACAGTTCCATAATGCAACAGCTACTGCAGTGTGAAACAAACATTTAACAAGTGGGACAGAAGCACTTACACAGTATTTCTCACATCTGAATGTACCCTCCATGGAATCATAGAGTTGTAGATTTGGAAGGGACCCTGAGGGTCATCTAGTCCAAACCCCTGCAATGCAAGAATCTCAGTTAAAGCATCCATGACAGATGGCCATCCAACCTCTACTTAAAAACCTCCAAAGAAGGAGAGTCCAAAACCTCCCAAGGGAGACCGCTCCACTGTCTAATACAGCGGTTCTCAACCTGTGGGTCCCCAAATGTTGTTGGACTACAACTCCCATCATCCCTGACCACTGATCATGCTGGCTAGGAATGATGGGAGTTGTAGTCCAACAACATCTGGGGACCCACAGGTTGAGAAACACTGGTCTAATTGCTTTTGCTGTCAGCAGGTTCCTTCTGATGTTTAGTCAGAATCTACTTTCTTTTAACCTGAATCCATTGGTTTGTGTCCTACCTTCCAAAGCAAGAGAAAACAAGCTTGCTCTGTCTTCCACCTGACAGCCCTTTAGATACTTGAAGATGACTATCATATCGCCTCTTTTCCAGGCTCCCTCAACCGTTGCTCATAAGGCTTGGTTTCCAGATCCTCAATCATCTTGGTTGCCCTACATAATGCAGGCCTGCTGTTGCCTAGACTTTTCCCCTTTCCTACTGCCTCCCTTTCTTCAGGGGGAAAAAAACCAATAGTGTTCTTAATCATATGTAGATGAAAAGATGGAATCGCACAAGTTAGCTCTTTATATATTTCCCGAATCGCACAACCAGATTTGTTTTACACAGCAGTCGTGTGGAAAGCATCCTGCAGAGATATGCACGCGCGAGGGACTGGCAAGAAAAGGCAGCACTAGCCACATGATTTAAATTAATTAAGGCAGCACTGATGCCTCCAAAAGAGGTTGCATTAGCGTTTTGACTCTTTGCTGGGGGAAAGCTATAATTTACATGTACAATATCCTTTCACGTTGCCTATTAATTACATCTACAGTGTCTCTGTTTACAAGCAATCCATTTGAAAACATATGCTGCAATAATTAAAATGTTATTATGCTGACAGCGCCTTTCTGGAGGAACTTGTAACATCTGTATTGACCGTGATAAGCATTGATTATCTCAAGTGATATAAATATTTGGGGAGCTAATAACAATCAGGTAGGAATTCAGTTCATGCTATAGGCAGCAGAAATAAATTACAGGAAGCCTACATCAAAGCCGCCTCCTGCATAAGTTTGTTTTGATACTTAATGGCTCCCAATAAAGCACACAGAGAGAAAACTCTTTGGAGATTTAACGCATAAGGAAGTGCCTTAAGGAAACTTCCCATCCTGTTGGCATCTAGCATTTCAGTACATCTGTAGAAGCTTACATACATGGTGAAGTTAGGAAGCTGGGGTGGAAAGTAAAATTAGGACCCTCGGTAAAAAAAATACAAACAAACCCAATCCAAACTCACACAGTCGTCTAAGATTTTCTTTGAATAGGGTGGGGTGTGTGATCCTAACGGCATGAAAGTATGCAGACTCAATAAGTATAGGAGAGATCAGGATTGCACCCACCAGCCTCTTCCCTGGCCTACAAGCAGGATTCAGTTCACATTTAAAGGCAAACCTTCCTACTTTGCATTTTCTGAAACAAGACCTGAACCAAAACACAGGCGCCTTCAAAATACACACTTCTCTGGATTTTATAATGCAGTCCTCCAGCCCAGTGATGTGTAAAAAGTGCGTATACTAGTGAAAATTGAGCATACAGATTTATATATCAGTGAAAATAACATACTCAAAATGCATTATACTGGGGAAATTGGTTTGCAAAAATGTGTGTATTTGGGGAAATTGCGTAGGTTGCCAAAGGCTGCAACTTGGAATATAATCCACATGTGCTCTTCTTTTGTTTCTTTTAGTTTTTAATGTCTTCTTTTTACATTCTTGGCTGGTGTCTTATCTTCCTTATAACCACAGCACAGTCACAGTTTTTCCATGATGCTTGTTAACAGTTTGTACTATTCAGAAATGCACAGATTAAGCTTCTCCCACTATTATTTTGTCCTTGTTTCTTTCAGACCAGTGCCCTGTGTTTTTTCCCCAAAGCAGCCAGAATGGGAAAAAGAAAAAAAGACATTGCAATCACAATAGCATGAGCTAATGCTTTGCAGACACAACAATAGCTGCTACTTGCACCTTACATAAACTACATTTAATTACCTTTGGGTTGCTTATTTCATTCAAAAACATTCATTTACAGCTGCAAATACTTTAAAGAGACTTCTACAGTATATTGCACTGGACTCCATGATAATATGTTATATTGCTTGTTCTTCTACAACAGGGAAGTATTGTTGTTTTAATTATTTTTATTGATTTTTGTAAGAAATGGAAACTATTATAGTTTGCTTAATAGCAGTTTAAACAACCCATTTTGGTTCACTAATAAACTGAACTGAACTTTAGTTTGACATTGGGACTCGTTTAGTATTATTATTATTAATACATTAAAGAAATTAGGTGTTGGGTAGCCAGAATCTCTTGGGGAAACAACAGCAAAATGAAATGAAACATCTCATCCAGAAGTAAAAGGGGACTGTGGTTTTAACTGATAACGGCTGGCAAAGAAACCTTAAGCCTAGGAAACTGCCAGAACTTATTTAACTTTCCCATTGAAACTGTTCAGTACTGTCAGCTGAACCATCCTAAGGCTGGCAGAGGGAAAATAAGCCTTTTAATCAGAGTTGAATTACATCACCATTTTTGCCAGAGTAAGTTATGCCCGATGGTCAGATCATGTGACCGAGTTAAACTAAGTTAGGCTCCAGGGTAACTTCCACCCTGCCTGGTCCAACCCACACCTTTTCCATGGAACACCCAATTTACATGCCTAACATTTCATCTATCCCCCATATATAAGCAGATTGAGTCTTGCATGCTTCCAGTGCCTAGGGGTGATATGAAAATAACTACCAAAGTTAGTGGGATCCAGATATATTGTTTTCCCCAATCCTGCCTCATTACACTTCATGTACATTCCAAACACTTCATGTATGGAAGTGAGAGCTGGACCATAAAGAAGGCTGATCGCCAAAGAATTGATGCTTTTGAATTATAGTCCTGGAAGAGACTCTTGAGAGTCCCATGGACTGCAAGAAGATCAAACCTATCCATTCTGAAGGAAATCAGCCCTGAGTGCTCACTGGAAGGACAGATCCTGAAGCTGAGGCTCCAATACTTTGGCCACCTCATGGGAAGAGAAGACTCCCTGGAAAAGACTCTGATGTTGGGAAAGATTGAGGGCACAAGGAGAAAGGGATGGCAGAGGGCGAGATGGTTGGAGAGTGTTCTCGATGCTACCAGCATGAGTTTGACCAAACTGCAGGAGGCAGTGGAAGACAGGAGTGCCTGGCGTGCTCTGGTCCATGTGGTCACGAAGAGTCGGACACAACTAAACGACTAAACAACAACAACAAGAGCCTAGGGCTTGCCAATCAAAAGATTGGCAGTTCGAATCCCTGCGACAGGGTGAGCTCCTGTTGCTCGGTCCCAGCTCCTGCAAACCTAGCAAAGCACGTCAAAGTTTGCAAGGAGATAAATAGGTACTGCTCTGGCGGGAAGGTAAACAGCGTTTCCGTGCGCTGCTCTGGTTTACCAGAAGGGGCTTTGTCATGCTGGCCACATGACCCGGAAGCTGTCTGCAGACAAACGCCGGCTCCCTTGGCCAGTAAAGTGAGATGAGCGCCGCAATCCCAGAGTCGTCCGCGACTGGACCTAACAGTCAGGGGTCCCTTTACCTTTACCTTTAAGAGGAATGAAAGAATATTTGCTTGAGTGCAAGGAGAACCCTCTGCATGTGTTTAGAGTGAGGCAACCACCCCAGGCAGCTCATAAAAGCATTGGGGGGGGGGGGAGAGAAGTTAGCTATTTATTTTATTACGTGCATTTTTACTGCCATGGAGCAAAAAAAAGTGCTTGTGGGATTTCGGCAATTCTATGCCAGGCAATGTATGGCAATGGTTGGTGGGTAGCATTTTCCTAGTATTCAGAACTACGCAAGTCATATCAAAGCTGCCCTAAAATGTTAACACGACAAGATAGATTCACATTATTATGGCTATACTTAGCATTCATGGAATTTGCTCTACTGTGCTAGTTACCAGCTCCCAACCTGAGCATTTTATTGCTATTGGGAGAGGGTCTGTTTTGAAAATTGGGGATCTGGACCCTTGCCCCTCTTGGCTGAGAAAAACTTAGCAGGGAGGGGGCAGCTGGCAGGGCCAGGAAGGTTATTAATGCTGCCATGATCTACCTTACAAGGTTGTTGTGATGACAAAATGAGTGGGAACCATGTGCCTTGGAAGAAACGTAGGAAATACAAGACAATTTTTAAAATGCCATTTGTTGAAGTGTTCCTCTTCTCTAGCCCCTCCAAAATACACTGTATACATCCTGGAAGCTTGTACAACATTTTAAAACATTTCAGAACAACTCTTGTTTAGATAATTTCTAACAATATTTTTGTAAGCAGTCAAACTGATTGAAAAGGTCTGATTGAAAAAGAAAAAGAAAGGAAAACTGTGGTAAATACCAAAACAAAAGAGAGACAAAATAAGGGGGGAGTGAAAATTAAAAATTAAAGAAAGTGTAACAGGCTGTTCTAGTGACCTTGATGTAAAATAATCCATTTAGCTGCCAGCAGCTTTCCTGCTATTCATTCTCATAGTCTGTGGGTAACTGTGGCAGAAGGAAATCTGTGAAAACATAATTATCTCTTTGTCCCTCTTTTTAAAATAATGATGATGGTGAAAAAAAAATTGAGGGCACTTGGACCATTGCATTGCAAAACCTCTTTGCATTGTCACTGTAAAAAGAAGCATAATTTGTACACAAGGATAAATTTTTCATGTTTCTATCAAACATTAATAATAAAGGTTTTAATATTTATTGTTACCCGTGGCCAAAGACTCTGAGTTCCCGCTCCAGTCGGGTTGACACTTCGAAATAGGGATTGCCTTTGGGTATGACTGATTGGGATGGTGTTCATGATAGGGATTCCCCTTCGGAATATCACACTGGTCCTCAGTTCTGCTTAATCTTCTTAATATTCACTTTTACATATTCATCTGTAATCAGCCTTTATCTGGAATTCTAATGTGTTCTCAATTTATTTTTCCTCTTTGTTTTAATGCTGGCACAATCCACTCTGGAGAAACACACACCCCCAATCTTCATCAGGGCTTGTTCTATCTTCATATTAAAATGACCCTCCGTGCTGCATCGATTCCACAGGGCTGTGTTTCTCCCCGCTGAAAACTATCACCAAAGTTTCACTTCGTTCCAAAGCACATAAAGGCTTTTTCTGTGATATTCAAAGGTGGATTGTTGTTTTTCTAAAGCTTGAGCAGTTGTTTTGACCACCACAGGGTGTACTGTGAGATTTTGGCATCCTCCCCCATGGTGGCCAAGCAACTGTTCAAAGTAACAGGAAAGATACAGTGCCAGAGGGAGGATAGCTCAGGGGAATTAAGATAGGCTGCGACTTTGACCTCCAGGTCATTGTTCTGAAAAGGACCCAGGAAATGGAGAGATCAAAAGTTACTGCCATCTGACAGCTGGTGCTCTAGCTCAAAAACATTGCATGTTCTGTGGGATAGTATCGGGTCATTTCCACCCATGCATTGATCTTTTCAATTTTCCAAATGAAATACATGCAACACCAACAAATATTTTAAACGTTCAGAAATATATTGTAGTTGAATCTGCATAGGGCTGCAATTGTTCCCAAGTTAGTTTCCAGGCCCAATTCAAACTGCTGGTTTTGACCTATAAAGCCTTAAACAGCTGAGAACCACAATACCTCAAGGACCGCCTCTCTCATATGAATCTTTTGACTACTACTACTAATACTGCTTCTACTACTAATAATAATAATAATAATACTTTTTTATTTATACTCTGCCCATCTGGCTGGGTTGCCCCGGCTGCAATGGGCAGTTTCCAGCACATATAAAAACATAAAAAATATCAAACATTTTTCAAAATTGCCTTAAAAGCTTTGTAAACTATTAACAAATCTTTTGCACACAGAATTTTTGTCAGTTGAATTGAGGGAGGGATAGGCTTGCCATATTCCTGCCAAATTTCTGACACCCCCAAAGTTGTGGAGCTTTTTTATAGAAAGCCACCAAAATTTTTGAGACTGGTCTCCTGTTAGCAGCAGAAAACAGCTCGTGCCTCAGAGAGCCCCACACCCAGCCTGAGGCAGTGCATGAAGTCCTCGCTGGAGCAGTGATGCCAGAGGCCGGATGGACGTGTGAAGGTAGGAAGGAGCCTCAGTGTGGTTTAGTGGTTAAGAGCTGTAGACTCGTAATCTGGTGAACCAGGTTCGCGTCTCCACTCCTCCACATGCAGCTGCTGGGTGATCTTGGGCCAGTCACACTTCTTTGAAGTCTCTCAGCCTCACTCACCACACAGAGTGTTTGTTGTGGGGGAGGAAGGGATAGGAGAATGTTAGCTGCTTTGAGACTCCTTCGGGTAGTGATAAAGCGGGATATCAAATCCAAACTCCTCCTCCACTCCTCCTCCAGGGGTGAAGAACTGAAGAGACGTTCAAGGAGGGAAGACAACCCCTTCACCACCTACCCCGGGCGCCCAGAGAGAGAGAGAGGTGCCCAAGAAAGGGAGGTGTTCCATGCCCATCATAGGCCCTCCCCACAAAGAACTTTGCCTCACCCATGCCTGCGTGCATCCATCACTTTCTCTTCCCTCAAATGGTGGTGGCAGCAGTATGGTGGGCAGGGCCAGAGCAGTGGACCAAGTGGACGTGCTGGGGGTGGAGGATGGGGCCGAAAGGGAAGCTGACAGTGGCCAAAGCAGGACAGAAAGCCTCAGTGGACCACAAACAAAAAAACCCCAGAAAACCGGGGTGGGGGGAACACCCTGGTTGCCATATGTGCGAGAAATTCTAGACATTTCTTAAAATTCAAAATTTCCCCCCAGTCACCATTTTAGGCATCCAATTTCCGTACAGTTCTGGAATTTTCCAGACGTATGGCAAACCTAGGGAGGGAGCTGTAAGGTGTAGGGTTCAAATTGTCATTGCACAGAAAAATATGCGATGTCTGCAGGCCTGCCAATTATATTTCCAGCTCTGGGGATAAAGACCTTCCCAGAAATCATGCTCGACGTTATTCATCGCCTATGGTAAGAATTCATTCATTTTGGTGATGTGACTCAGGGACTATAATCTGTATCCCAATGCACAATTACTCTTGACCAGCTAATATGCTTCATTGGTTCATGGATCCATAACGCTATGTGAGTGAATTGATAAAGTTAACTTTTCCATCTTGGCAGTTAACCAGATCATGATCAACTCTTCTTTCCCATTCAGCATCGCCATTAATTTGCCACGGTGATCTCAGTCACTGTTCATATATTCATTAATAAAGAACGTATCTGCCCTTCTGTCATTGCAGATATGTATCTCATGAATGTATGGATCATCCCTAGATCAATAGCTTGTCATATTAAAACTGATTTCATTTTAAGGAAGTTTATATGTTTTGGAAGACAAGCTTTGATTCACTGCACTGAAAATATGAACAGAATATGGTTGCTTGTGAGCTTATACTGATGGTATATGGCTTTTAGGGATCAAGTGTGAAGAGCACGTTCTACATAGCAAAGACATTTGTGTGAAACAAATGCTGGATTTGACACTAGAGTGGTACCTCAGGTTACAGACGCTTCAGGTTACAGACTCCACTAACCCAGAAATAATACCTCGGGTTAAGAACTTTGCTTCAGGATGAGAACAGAAATCGTGCGGCGGCAGCAGCAGGAGGCCCCATTAGCTAAAGTGGTGCTTCAGGTTAAGAACAGTTTCAGGTTAAGAACAGACCTCCAGAACGAATTAAGTTCTTAACCCAAGGTACCACTGTATAGGTTTTTGGCATAGCTGTCAACCGTCCCTTATTTGGCGGGAAAGTCCCTTATCCCAGCGCCATGTCCTGCTGCTGTCCCTTATTGATGATGTCCCTTAAATTTCCTGGGTTTCAAAGGAAGCAGCTCCTCTCCCTCCCTGCCTGCTGGCCAGAGAGGAGGTAGGCTCCAACTGTGTTGCTTGGCTGCGTTGCTCACCCAATAAGGAGTCGAAGAATGACTGGGGGATGGGGCTTGCATGCCTTGTGCCAATCAAATCGGCTGCATTGCCTGGGGACTCACCTTTGCTCAGCACTTCAAGCGAAGAGGTGACAGTGGTTTTTCTTGCTGCATCCCCTTTGCCAGGTTGCTGCGCTGTGGGAACCACCACTTGAGGCTTCGTTTGGCTGCTGGCTGGGCTGTCTGCCTTTGGCTTGGAGGGGCTCAGAAGTTGAACATACCTGTGCTGGGAAAATCCCTTATTTTGGCTGCTGGTCCCTTATTTTCAAATCTGTAAGTTGACAGCTATGGTTTTTGGTCTGTTCCAAAAGAGATCTGTTTATATTATTATTAGAGACTCTATATTCTCAGGTTCCCCACACTTAGAAGGGATATAAATGCATATTTTAAAGGCTGGGAGTTTGCCTGGATTCTTATAGTCCTTATTAGCTCCTGTCTGATTGCCAGATCCAACAGATATATCCCCTAGGCAAACTCAAAATGGAAGTACGGTCAACTTGGTGAAGATACTAAGGCACATGTGACTGTGAATAATAGTTTATTATATTGGTATATTGTAAGATGGAGCAGTCAGGAGCTCTGGTTGTTTTTGTGTGTATGTGTGTATTTTATACATTTGTTTGTTAGCAAATAGTTGTCCGCCATGCAGATAGTTGCAATTCATGGCAAACATGAGACAAATAAGATGGCTAAAATTATATTTTTAGATCAAGGATGGGGGACCTGCAGGCCCTCCAGGTGTTGTTGAACTACAACTTCCATCAGCCCAAATGCGCATGCCCAGTGGTCAGGGATGAAGGGAAATATAGCCCACAAACATTTGGAAGACCACAGCTTCCCCAGACCTGTTTTATACTGATCCATTTCAGGCTAGTTTTTCTAGCTGAAGACATTTTTTTTATTGACTAATGCTAGAGATATTGTACAGCATGATATATTAACTGCTTGGAATCATTCTGTACTACTGTTAAATAATTTGATTTAGAGATGAGAGAACAGTAAGCAGAAATATCTATCACTGTGCCATTGATCAGTATTCAGTCAGTGAACTGGATCCTGAATCCAGAGTGTTGAGAAATAGCTGGAGAGCAACTTACCTAATGACAAAGTATACTTCCTCCATTGGAAGTGATTGTAATCTAATCTTCAATACATTATCTCAGAATGCTGACATTGTGGATTGCGCCTTTTGATTTATGTATCATGAAATTACGATTAGCAATAAATTAATGACCATTTAAGGCAAATAGAACCAGCTGAAAGGCTGGCTGTTGCTGTCTTTAAATGTTTAGTGATAACATATTTGTATGGCTGTTAGTGATCCCTGAATATATTGCCTATGGAACAATTAAGGCAATATATGCAGAGAATATCCATTTTTCTTTTCCGATTTGTGATCATTCTGTGATCAAAAAACTCTGAATCACATCTAAGATTACTCAAAGGCTCTACTTAAGGCCCTATAGGATTACTTGTTTTTCTAGTTAACAACTCATCACTGTAAATGCTGTGTAAAGCAACACAGGTGGCCAATCCTCTTAAGAGTCACATCAAAGAGGCCACCATGAAGTTTTAGATGTGATGCAACAGTGGTCTGAACTGTGTCTGTCACTGATCACCAAAACGCAACATATGATGCATGATTAACATAACTATCAGTTCTCAACACAAAGTGGTGAAAATTTGTTTAAACTAGAGTACATAATCACACCGTGTGATTTTCCTAGGTGTACCGCAGTTCATAAAGGCACTATTAATAATAAGCTAGGGCAGGCCTCTCTTCATCTAGGTCCGGCCCTGGTGTATACAGGAAGTCCTTGGGGTGCTGGGGCTAAAGAAATCATTTCGTTGTATTTTGTTTTCTATATTTTCTTCTTTATTTCTATATTTAGGCCTGGGCAGGCCGGGTCTTCCTGTTATATACCTGCTGGGATTGACAAGGCATATGACCCTCACCTGAATCTCATAGCTCTCCTGACAGGTGATTTGGTCTGCAGCCACAGTATGGAAATAAAGGAGGAGATTGCCCACCAGAAAGCAGGCACTCTATTATTCTAATTAGGTCCCAGTGCTTTTCTTACAATCCCATTCTCAATGAATTAATCAATTTTAATGTAGCATGTAAATTCTCAAAACTTTCTTATTTGTTAATTCGAGCAACTACTGCTCTCACTTCATTGCAAACAATATTTCTACTTGCAACACACTTGAGCAAACCTGCTCCTCTTCCTTTCACAGATATTTTGTTTCCGTTTGCAACTGTAGCTGCCTCTGATGAGTTATCATTTAACTCTTAGGGGGGGAATTAGCATCAGACGTCATGTGCA